CGCTTTTCACAAAATTCATAAACTCAAGCGCATCTGTTTTAAAGGAAAAGGGCCACCTTCGTGAAATATGAAGATATCGTTGTTTTTCATTTTGACATTATTATTTTTCATTTTCTTTTTAAAACTGGTGCCAGAAGTGCACAATTCGCGAAAAAGTATTTAAAACTATCTAACATATTGGTACTATGTTGATACTCTCTACGGCACCTACTGTATGATGGCATAGCGATGACGTCACACTCAAGCCAATCAGCGTTCAGAAGACAGATTCGTCGGATTGTGTCAGATAAGCTGATTGGTTAAAGCTGAGCTGGTTGGAGCTGATTGGTAAAAAACCAAAGCCTCGCCGCGGGTGGCTGTATTGTCGGATTAGAACGCATTCCTGGGATAAGGACGCATTCCTGGCGTATTTTCTTTTAAAATTGCCGATAACTACGAATGGAGACCGAAATCGGCCGTAAGGAGGTAGACAGATAGGTTTTCAGACACGGGCTACAAGATGGCTATCTCAGTTTCAATCCCCATGTTAAAGGTGGCCCTTTTCCTTTAATGACCAGTCAACTACGCATGGATGCGTGCAGGCCACACAGGTCAGCGTGAGCCGAGCGCGGCGGCCGAGCCGAAACTGGGGCGGGGCGGGCGGTAGTTGGGTAGGAAGAGTGGCTCCTGCAAATTCTGCGCAAATATGCGCAGTTAGCTTTTATGTTGCCCTGGTGTAAATTTAAATCGTACTTCATCTCACAAAAAATCAGAGTGGAACTAGATGGGACTACCTGTTGTTTCCTTACCTAAACTTTGCAGGTATATTCCAGAATCACTGTAGGAGAGCCTTCATAAAAAAGCTATAGTAGGGGAGAGTGGTGCAGGAGGCCCCCCCTTAAGCTCAGATGCTATTTTTAGACAACTGATAATATTTAAGAGCTAACGTGTGCATGCGCTGTGAGCATGCATCATTTTCCCATACATATTTGCATTCAAAATGAATCTAGGGGGTACACAAACCGTAAACTTTAACATTTTGGAAAAAGTTGCAAAAGGGCCTCTTACACTATGGGTATGGTAAGACGCCCCCCCCCCCCCCCTCGGGCGTTTAACAAGGCACGTCGACTTGTAAAAGACGTTTTGCGAACACAGCTGCAAGGCCTTTTATTTCGAAAAGCTAAGCAAATACGGTGTTATCGAAACCAATAACACTTCCAAAGCGCTCGAACAATGCGAAAACTAGCACAACCAAACGCTGATGACCAACGAAAATTGTACCTATTACCTCTAGAAAAAGAAACAGAAAAAAAGAAACAAAAACAAACTCCTTGAAAAAAGAATGCCACGCCTGCCGCAGGTGCGGGCGTTTTAGCATCGGGGGCCTTTTTTATCGGGGGGCGTTTTATAATCCTCGAAGGGAGGGCCTCTTAAAAAAATGCAGTGTTTTAACGTCACAATATTTATGGTTTATGAGACATTTGCAGCGCACCAGAACATGGTCTATTCTGAAGCTAACATGTGACAATTTCGATGAGATAAGATTGCATTTGATAGCCATTGTTTTTTCAGATATATAAGGGTGATAAAGATGCATATATCTAGCAAGTAAAGGGGCAAAAACAGAAACAGGCTTACCAAAAGTCGCTGCGACGCACCTGATACCTCAGGTTTCGTGAGTTGTTGTTTCAAGAGGGCTTCTGCTTTACAAGAACATTAAAAAATAAATAACATTATTGGTTTGGTAAAAAAAGCGATGGGGCCTCTTACCGACCCTGGGCGTCTTACACGGATCTCCCCTACATCTTAGTTAGGGAAAAAGTATGCCAAAAATTTTGCACTGACCAGTCGGCAACTTCATAACGAACATTTTGATGCATAATATGTGGGATTTCAATTTGGTGTCTATCAGCAATAAGACTCTGAATATCCGGCTCAAGAAACCTCTTGCTCCGCGTCAATTTCCGAGTTCTGGGATACCCCATCTTCGGGGGCTGATTATAGCTATTTTTGGTCACCGGGATTAGTTTTTTTGGCCTAAGTATAATAATTTGATCAATTTCAAATCGATCTATATAAAAAATAATCCGAAACTCCGGAATCGCCCGTGGCCTCTCGTGAGGGCGTTTCCGACCAGTGCACAGTGGGGATTTTTCCGATCTAGCGCCTATTAATTCAAAAAATATTTTTTGGATTTTTGTTTATTTTTTGTGTCAGTAGGGCTAAGAAATGTCTGAATTTTTCATATATGGCATTGTTTTATCTGTATGTCCACAGCAAAACTAGGAAAAATGCGCCCAAAGTTCACACTCATGCGTGATTACTCAATGGACTCAGCAAGGCCCGAAAGTATAGCTCAATTTCATTGTCCTGTCCTGTTGGTTTTAATCTTGCGAGGTCTTAAAGTTGCATATCGTCTGAAAGGCACCTTTATTAGGAATGGAATGGCAAACAGAAAGTATGCCACAACCTTACTAAGGTCACAAAAATGCCCTTTACAAAAGACCCTTACAGACACCATATTGAAGGGATGGTATTCTAAATAAATGTAGGAAATCAACAATGTTCTCCACACTTTTCCACTCCGAAATATATCCTATCGAATTCGCCACTTTCTTCTGCACAAGACAACGCCTGGTTTGGCTGCCGAAACTTGCCTGAACACGGAATATTCACATTAGAGTATCTTAACACCCCACTCGAGGAGCGCTAGGGCAAACAGCACGATATAGGTATGTTCCGGACATAGGCGAATAATTTTACTTCGTGATTTATATGATGCATATTTTCTGAGACACATTCATTAGGAATAGGATGACAAGCGCAAATTATACATACCGTAACCTTATTAACCATCGCACTTGTGGGGAGGGGGAGGGGAAGGGGTCGGATAAAACCCCATGGTTTTCCGCAAATTACTCGCGCAAAAAACGGCCGATCGCGCCGAAACTTTGGGTACCCTCGAGATCATTAATTTTACATCTAACCTAAAAATTTCATGACTCTGACCCAACTGACCTTTGACCTGTGGCATATTTCTCGAGACCATGTTTGGTCGGAATCGCGATTCGGCGTATGCCAGCTAACATTATCCGCGGTTTCCAGTCTTTTTGTGGTTTTAAACGTTCAAATATGTGAAATGATGTTGGTGCCATGCATAATGGTGGGAGTCAAGGTCACGTGAAGGTCAAGTCAAGGTCATTGACCTTTTGATGACCTTGGTTCACTTTTTCGAGTTTTACTTGTTTCTACGGTAGTTTTTGGTGCTGATTTCGATTTTAGCAGCCATTTGAATATTTACGAAGTAGTTCTAGTGCCTTCGTTCCATGTTACGAAGCTATCAGTAGTAGGTGACACTTCTATGGATGGCCGGCAGGACGCCTACTAATTGATCTAACCTGACCTGACCCGACCTGGCCTAAATGCATAAAGACATCGTCTGTGATCAAAACTGACATGAAATTCGTGATCAGCACCCCAAAATACCCCGTAACACCCTAACTTTGCGAAGTTTCAAGAGGTCTCGATTTCCCAACTTTAGTTGGGTCATTAAACTGACTTGGAAAGTCAGCTTATGACCTTGGACTTTGAAATTGGATATATTCGGCCTAATTTCGTCATAGGCAGCACGCTTGACTTTTCCGCGAAGCTCTAGCTTGATCAGGGGCCAAACGGCTGAGCGGGGGTCCAATTGAACCCCCTATACTATGTTGATTATGCACATTTACAGGTAAAATTCTCACCAGGACACACCAGCCAACATCTGTGCACAATCTGGCTACAATTCTTCCTATGGTTTGCCCTCTACGAATAAATACGTGCTAGATCGGAAAAAATCCCCACTGTGCAGTGTGCGGCGGCGCCGGTAACCGCCGGGGTGAGGACAGGGCGGACTGCCGCACCACTGGCCGAGACCGCCCATAACACCGCGCTGGAGGTCGGCGCCGACCGGCCGCGGCCAGAATAGCTGCATTACGTCCGGCCGAGCGCCGGCGGGGGTTCTGGCCGGCCCTCGGGTACACGGCGCCGCGGTTCGGTGACAGCTACACGGCCGGCCATTCCGCCGACAACCTGCGGCTAGTTGTCCTGGCATTGGGAGACTGGTCTCTCTGGCTCCACTCAGCGGTGTGGGGAGGAAACTCGGCGCCGCCGTCACCGCCGCGGACGGGGGAGGGTGACTCCGTGTGACGTGTCCGCCTCTCCACCGGTGACGTAACGCCACGTCACCGAGCTGTCACGTTTCCCTGCAGACCGGCCGGCCAGTCCGCAGAACTCGACAACGCCGTGTGCACGCCGCGCCGGTGTCGTAACAGCTCTGCGCAGAACGTCAATATTAGCGTTTATTAATGCGCTAATATAAACAGCAACGAACAGCACCGCGCGACCACATGCCTGGTCTTTGCATAGCTAGTACGGGTACCAGTTTAATGCCTCATAACTGTCAGCTGGAAGGTGTTAATGACTGTGCTGGTATTGTAATGTCGTAAATGACGTGGTTTGCGACCACTATGTATTGTGTATATCGACCGCTAGCTGGCTTCCCAGGCACGCCTCTGAAACCTGATTCCATCCATTGGCGTCGCCGTTGATTGGCTTCCTGCCCTCCACGGGTGACGGACTTCCCCCTTCCGCCGGTGGAGGTCCCTGCTACGGCACTGGGACGGATTTCGGCCGTCCCGCCGTGCCGTACTATATCACTGACACGCGTCGTTACCTTCCCTTCCGTCAGGGCCATCTCCGCTCCCCTGTAATGTTCGTCTCTCGGACAGTGCGCCCGTCCCTCACCCCTCTGACAACGTGTAGTCTCTCCGCCCCTCTGACAGCATCCGTCTGCCCCCTTTTGACAGTGTCCGTCTCCACCCTCTGGTAGTGTCCGTCCTCCACACCCCTGACAGTGTCCGTCCCCCACCCCCCTGAGTGTCCGTCCCTCACCCCTCTGGCAGTGTCCGTCTTCACCCCTCTGGTGACAGTGTCCGTCCCCGCCCCCAGCCGAGCTGCGCTGACCGGACTGTGCTGCGCTGAGTGGGCCGCCGTCCGGCGCTGACCGGCGCTGAGCGGACAGCTGACTATCCCGCCGTGTAGCCATGCTGGGCACCCTGCTGCTAGTGCTGCTCTGTGTGCTGCTGGGCGTCGTGCTCACGCTGGTCGTGCAGTACTATGTGCTGGAAAACTACTTCGAGAGCCTACCCATTGTCGGGCCCACCGACAAGCCGACCGTCACGCAGCCGCGTCTGCCCGAGGTGAGTGGGTGACCCGGGCCGCCGGCCGTGTGTGGAGACCCTGTGTCAGCGGGCAGGTGTTGATCCTGCGGATGGAGTTGTCTGAGTGGCGGATTGAGCTGTCTCAGCCGTGATAAAAGCGAGTGTACGCCGGCGGCTCGGCCTAAACCTCAGCCATCGGCGTTAGTCTGTCGCCAGTGGGACGTGAAATGTCAGACGACGTTACAGGCATGGCTGCAGGCGCGGTTTTTCCGACAGGACGAGCGACGGTTTTGCTTCATGTGCGATGTCAGAGCTTTAAATAATAGCACTGCACGACCACAGTGTTTATATTATTTTCATGTAAATGAATATGAACTATTGGCATATAGTTCGTTCGAAGTGTGTGTACTTTACCAAATGTTGTTACAATGTATTTTTATCTGGAAAAATAACTTATGAAAATAATTGTGATACCTGGAAGCTCTAAAATAGGGCATCCAAAGTCCGGAGCAGTTGGTAATTATAAGGCCGGTTGAGGCTCGGCCCATTAGTTGACCAAAGTTGCCCGGAGAGCTGCGGGTTCTCACCCAGACCAGTACAGTCGCTCGGCGCCACTCGCTGACTCTCCCATTATCTGACCGTGCCGAGTGTCGATACCAACCACCGGGGGCGGCGGAGGCGGTAATCGACTGCTGCCCAGTCTTTGAATCGTTCCAGGGAGCTCACAGGCTATTTGTAGCCCTGCATATAGGCGGATTCAGGGAGAGTTCGCGCGGCAGCTGCAGTCTGACACCCACAGTCCCACAGCAGCACATTCACATTATTCACAGCTTCACTGCACTCCAGATATTTCAATCTGAAAATATTCAGATATGTTGCATAATATGCGGTTCTATTAAAAGGCGGATCTAGACTAGACACCCCCATTTACTGGATGGTTCCACACTGCTGATAACTTCTTAGCAGAGTCGGCAAAGCCCCAACGCAAACATGCGATCTCGCCACATGTATTAGCTCACACGCTGCTGTGGGCAGATAAATCCACATTCCACGTCCTATTGTCATGCATTGAGGTCTTTTATTGATGTGTTCGTTGCCTGTCTGGGTGAATGGACAGAGCGATTCATCGATGACTTATTTAAGATAAGTATGTCACTTTTTACGGCCTAACTATGTGTGTTCATTGAGGCCTTTTTGATATTGCATAATTGCTTTGCTAATTTGCGCCTTAGTTCTGTTGGCATTTCTTTTTTCATTTGCAAATTAAGACTACACTATCAACTGCTTTGATCTGACTCCCCACTGCACCTCACGCGTCAATCGTCATCCTGATCCTGACCGTGTGGTCCCCGCTGCACGCTATCGGCCTAAGGCTGACAATAGCCTCTCTGACCGCCCCAGGAGCTGGCTGACGAGGTGCGCAAGGAGACCTACCAGCGGAAGGAGACGTGTCTGGCCATCAACCTGCTGGTGCAGATGTTGTTCGGCGACCTGGTGCACACGCCGCGCCTCCGGCTCTGGGTCCTCAACAAGATCCACCTGGAGTTCCAGGAGCTGATGGCGCGCACCAGCGTCGGCAAGCTCTTCCACAACATCAGGGTGAGGCGCCGGACCGGGAGTCTGATGTGCCGCCGGGAGTCTGATCACTGAGAAATCGGTGGGGGTTGCTGTTACTAGTCGGTCATAATTTGTTACGGGAGTTTTATGGAGTTTTATTGGGCTGAAATTGGTGCAGGTAATCAGATTTCGCACGGAAGTTTAAGTCGACTAATACTCGAGAAGGTCTGATGTACTTGAGTCGCGGATCCATCTTCCCCGAACTGTGTCGTTTTTGCACGGCTCTGTGTAATGGAGTGGCGGACCGGTTGGTCCCGCCTCCCTCGGCTCACAGCTGGGGCGGGTGAATTATTTACCGCCGGCCTGCTAATGGGACTGAGACACGGTCCCGTGCGCCTCTGTTCTAATCCAAACACTCCCTCCTCCGGGTGCCCTAACTTTGTTACCGGCTGAGAGAGCGTATCCTCGTGTTTTTTTTTATGTGTCAAGCGGTTTTCCTAACGGGTAGCGATTGTTCTCAAATCACTACGCGTTTAATATTCTATCCTTTGAATAAATAACCTGCCTGGGATATTATACATGCTAAGAAAGACGGTAGGGTAAGGGCGGGTAAGAGTACGCGGGCGATAAGAGTACGCATCAGCTGTTTCGGTTGCTTAGCAACGCGGGTTTGTCGAGTTCATGAAGTCAGACATGAAGCCACCAGTACGTGCATGTCACCAACGGAACGTGGGCGTTGAGCGGCGACGCTGTTGAGTTTAAGGCGATGAATATTATTTTCGAGCGTTATGATATTATTATGATATGGTACAATAATTTTGATACTTGGCAGTTGAGATAAGGTACATTTCCGTGATTGTTGTGGGAAACTTGTGAGGTTATCTGGGGAAATACTGTACAGTGCAATATTATGTTTGCGAAGTTTTGCACAACGTTTCGGGGTTGTTTTGTGCGCGAATTGCATGTACGGTAAGAGGACGCACTGTTCAGGAGGGTAAGAGTACGCAGAATTATACATTAAATCGAATATACAGAAATATAGAATTATTAATCTTTCGCTCAATGACGTTTGTTTTGTAGGTATATCATCAAATGGAGCACTGTGATGCAGATGCGTACCCGAAATTCTTCCAAATACGAGTTATTCTCCTTTTTGATCGTGCATTTTTTTTACGAAACACACGACATGATTATTTCCTGATTTATAGACTTGAAAGATTTATTTTATGTTTTTCTTTTTGGATACTAGAATTAACTTAAACGCCTTCTGAGTTTGAAGTTAAGCATTTGGACAGTGCAAGCTGCATAGGTGTGTGTTCATATGCTTGCGTACTCCACCCGCCTGGCGTGCGTACTCTTACACACCCCATATGGTAAGAGTACGCAAGTGCAACGGTTCAGAAAATGTCAGTTTTAGACCACTTCCATTTACGCTGAAGGATCGTTGCCCCATGGGTTGATGGCTAATTCAATGAACTTTAATATTCCCTATTTGCGATTTCTTTCCTTCAAATATTAAACAAATGAGAGCAAGAAATCCACTAAGTGCGTACTCTTATACGACTTCACCCTATCCCTTCTATGGATGTTGCGCTGCTGCCCCGAACCGTCTGCCTTATTGATCATAGGCATGATAAATACGAGACCTCAGATTGGTGACATTTCCGTTAATCTCTGTCCAGTTCCGATCAACGACTGCCGCCGCCGTCCGTCGGTTTCCACGTGCCCTTACGTAACCCACCCCTCCGCCGGCAGATCAACGAGCTGGACCTGGGCGGTCAGATGCCCGTGTTCAAGAGCGTGACGACGCAGTACGTGTCGCTGCACCCGGTCACCCAGACCATCGAGCAGCTGGACCTCAAAGTGGACGTCGAATACAACGGCGGCCTCAAGCTCAGCATCCTGGCCGACATCGTCCTCAGCCGCAAGGGCTTCGTCTTCCTCAAAAGTGGGTGTGCGGAGCTGTGGGGTCAGTCAGTCATGGTGGAAGTTCACCTCTTCCCAGTCACTCATACTGGACTTCTGTTGGCTGATATTTGCCGTTCCGTATGACTGCATTTAATGACATCAATGCTCATATGACTTCACTCGAGGTAGCGCGAACAACTGTCAAGTTCTGTATCATCAAGTGTCACCTTTTCGGAAGCACATCTGCTCAGTGTATTTTATCATCAATGCCATTTAACTTTTCGCAGTCGTAGCCGTCGGGAACTAACCATATCTACACTGTAGCGCCCCACGCCTCTCCGAGTGAGCTGACGGCTGTGTCCCGTTCGGCAGTTAACCGTCTGTCGGGTCAGGTGCTGTTGCGCTTCTGCCGGCGCCCGTTCTCCCACTGGGCGTACAGCTTCATCGGCGACCCGACCATCGAGGTGGAGGCCGAGAGTCAGTTCCAGGGCCGGCCGCTGCCGCGCGTCACCGCCGTCATCGTGCGGCAGGTCAGTCCGGGGGGGGGGGCGTCACCGCCGTCATCGTCCGGCAGGTCAGTCGGGGGGGGGGGGGGGCGTCATCGCCGTCATCGTGCGGCAGGTCAGTCCGGGGGGGGGGGGGGGCGTCACCGTCGTCATGGTACGGCAGGTCAGTCGAGGGGCCAATCGGATGTTATTGATATCAGAGTACGAAGGTCAGGGGGTTCAGCAGATTGTTACACTGGTCCTTCCTGGGTCAGATAGACTCATTTGAGCTCGCTCAGGGTCAGGCGCAGGCCCCACAGTGTCGACTCATGGGACCAGGCCATCAGAGGGTGTTATCTAATTGCACAGTGGCGGCTGAGGGTCATGTGGAGTAGCAACGGTCAAAGGATGGGATCATCAAAGACTGTGTCACGGTGACACGGCGGGGAAATTTGATGGACCGAGTCTGCAATGGTGGTGGGAGGCTGGCTGGAGCTCTGGCGGTATTCCGGGAATCAAAAGTAAGGCGCAGCCGTTTAGTTAAGATGTGTGAAAATCATAAACGCAGTCGGGCTATTTATCAAAGCGTTCCATCGGCGTGCTTTAGTTGAGACAAGTGCCTCCGTAAGTCGATTTTAGCTATGTAAACCTGGTTCATGGGTCAGTGCTGTACCAGATCAATACTTCACTGGCGCGTGGGCGGGCTGGGAGACTCGCTAACAAAAATACTCGCGAACAAAAATAGCTGAACTCAGCGGCTCGACGGCAGCCTGCCTGATATTTATGTTTTACCATAGTCTGCACTGAATTTTTAGTCGGCTCAGCTTTTCGTTCGTTAATTCCACGGGACCTTGACGTCACAGCCCCCTCCCCGCTCGGTCCTCAGATAAAGCGTACGCTGCTCACAGCCCCTTCCCCCGCTCGGTCCTCAGATAAAGCACACGCCGCTCACAGCCCCTTCCCCCGTTCTTTCCTCAGATAAAGCGCACTCTGCGTAAGCGACACACGCTGCCCAACTACAAGCTGCGCTACAAGCCTTTCTTCACGTCCCGGCTGCAGCAGCTGTCGCCGGAGCCGCCGGAGACGCCGCCGGGAGGCCAGCTGGAGGTGACACTGAAACGGCTCTCCCGGCTGCGGCCCAGCGGGCAGCTGTCGCACGTCTACTGCCGGCTGGCCGTGGGTAGGTGCCCGGGGGACGGGGAACATGGGATGGTGATGGAATAAGGGAATGCGGTGGGGCTGATTCAGGCTATCCATCAGCTGACTCCACAGCAGCCGGCGGCGCGGGTGAAAATCATGGGCGAAACCGGAGATTATGCAACACTCATGTTGCTCTCACCCACTTACTGGACAGCTCGGCAACAAAGCCTGAATCGTTGCCCTGCCCTGTCGCTGCACTCGGCCAAGCGGCACTTGTGCGGACGAGCGGGGAGGCTTGTGCAATGTTCATTCTCGGGTGATACAGTAAATCTGCCGGCCCCGGGCTGCGGCGGCTGGTCACTCTGTCGGGCCGTAAACTGGCGGCGGACAGACGTTGTCCAGCCCACAGGAGACCCAGCGGCACCCATTTAGGCTGTGTCACGGGCCGGCGGGACCGTGTGAACTTCACCTGATGAATGTCACACGCCGCACCGGGCTGGGGGTACCGGGCGCAAGGCTGCTCTGTTAATTATTTACCGCCATCACGGTCATTGTGGTGGGACGTGTGTTTCGCAGCTTTGCCCGGCGCTTCTGACTGCATTTTTTCACCAGTTGCCCACATATCAGTTAGAAAATCATTGTGAACCCATGACGGGCACTTCCCATGCCGCTAGTGACCGTCATCCCAGCGTCGCGCTGGTCCCTGGTTGACTATAGTGACTGCTCATGACTTATCACCACTCATTGACCCCTCTCCTTTTCCGCAGGCTCTGAGCCGCTGCTTCTGGACACGTCGCACGTGCAGGGGACTCTAACCCATCCCTCGTCTTTCTGCAGGCTCTGAGCCGCTGCTACTGGGCATGTCTCACATGCAGTGGACCCTAACCCATCCCCCCCCCGTCCTTACCCTGCAGGTTCTGAGCCGCTCCTTCTGGACACGTCTCACGTGCAGTGGTCTCTAACACCCTCCCTCCTCTCCTTTTCCGCAGGTTCTGAGCCGCTGCTACTGGACACGTCTCACGTGCAGTGGACCCAGGAGTCGATCCCGGTGCCGGCCCACCCGGGCCTGGCAGTCGGCCTGCTCGTGCGAGACACCTTCGTCATGGAGAAACAGTGCAACTGCATCACCGTGTTCATAGTGGTGCACAACGCGCCCGCCTACAAGGCAGGCCTCAAAGGTGGGTGGTGTGTACTGCCGGCTGTGGTGGCTGCAGTTTTATGTGTGCGGTGATAGAGTAAAATCCATGAGGTGAGGCATTGCAGTTGAAGTCTGATAGCTTGGAGAGTTCAGGGTAAAATGTCTTGGTAGTATTTAGTGGGCGAGGGTTTTGCTGGGCGTGGTTTTCAGTTGGGTTGATTTACAGTTAGAAGTAAGTCTTATGCGCTGTTGTATGCGGGTGACGGCGGGCAGATCTGTGTACCGTTTGTCGTATTTGATGTGTTCCCGCTGCAGCTGTGTGCTAGTTGACGGCTGGTAGATCGTTATGCCGTTTGTGGAGTTTGATCTGTCTTCGTGTGACTGGTGGTGGTTCCGCGGGTTCGACTGTAAGACTGCTGCCGGGTGGCTGCTTGTGCCAGTGTCAGTGGACCGGCTACGTGCCATTAGGTATCTCCGGTGACTGGGTAGGGTATTGTTTGGAGGCAGTGTGTGCCGTGCGTGTGCATGACCGCGCTGACCCGGTGGGGTACTGTCCAGAGGCCGTGTGTGGCCGGTCCTGTGCTGTGACCGCGCTGTGCCGCTCGCTGCAGCCGGCGACATTGTCGACTCGGTGGACGGAGAGCCGGTGCGGGACCTGGCCACGGCCAACCGACTGCTGCGGCAGCCGCACCGCGACATCACCGTGCGCGTGCTGCGCATGACAGAGACCAAGTTCAGCTCCGTACGTAATGGCGCGCGCCGCCGCGGGGGTCCCGGGATGTGCCCTGGATATTTTTTTTTTTTTTTATAAATTTAGTCCGAATCTTTTGATGGGAAGGATTCACAAGGACAGAGCTACCGCTAAGCGAAGCTTGTTGCGGTGCCCCTGCCCTCTACCCTCCGATATCGAACAATCTTTTCCACATTTTGATGTTTTTTAACGGCATTCACTATTCCAGTAAATTTCCTTTCAAATGAAATCAGACTGTTCAGCTACAACCCCATTATTAAGAATTCGGGTAGGTCAGCGTTTGGTCTGTTGTTAGAGTGGTCGTATATCGCTCAGCGTTCCAGTATGTCAATTACGTTGAAATATCTGTCACTTCCTTCCATGACAGCTGTGCTCGCGGTATTAGCCCAACTACCACCTGCCCTGCCTCTGACCGTCTGTCTGCCGTTCCCGGTTCCAGCGGCGGGCGGCCACCGTGTCCAGCTCTCGGCCCGCCACGCGGCCGCCGCCGCCGACCCCGGAGCGGCGGCTGCACAGCTCCGTCTCCGAGTCGGTGCTGACCGACGACTCGCCGGTGCGCCGGCGCCGCGGCACGCGCAGCGTCTGCGGTCCCAGCTCAGGTAGGCCGCTGGTGGCCGCCGCCGCCGCCGCCTCCTGGGCCGGCTGGGTGCGGCTCGGCCCGGCCGCCCGCGCCGCTGGACGCTGCGGGCGGCCGCACCTCTGCCGCGCGGAGGGCGAGTGGACAGAGACGCGACGGGAGCTCTCAGAGCCGCGCCGTGAGCTCACAGAGCCGCGCCGGGAGCTCACAGAGGTCGGGGCGGAGGCGGGCGGTGAGCTGGCCTCTCCGGAGGAAGGTAGGACTGTCTGAGGCGCTGAGCGCACGGCCACTGAGTGAGGACACACGGACTAACCGCCCGGCACGCGGGCCGCGGACAGGTCACCGCCGCGGCCTCGGACTGGTGGCCGACGGAGGCTGGGATCGGTTCGTACCTATTTATGCTGGATTTTCATACGGGAGGGCGATTATGCATATCATTTGCGGCTATGGATTGGTCGGACTATTACATAAACATCGCATCATATGAACGCGGATACTGCTCTGGAAAGAATTCGCGTGCCTTTTCTGAATGATACAGGACATTTATGAGACGCTTGCAAGAGAAAGGGAAGGCGTTGGGCATTGCTCGAGATTGTTATGAGATTGCCGTTTTTCTGTAGGGTTTACACGTGTATTCCTGGTATTCGATTTGTAATGAGGCATGCGGACGTCGTGTGCGGTTCCCAATATTCAGGAGTTTCTTCGCTTTCTTCCTTTTCTGTCGGGATTGTTTTCTGGCATTGTTTAGCTTGGGTGTCACAACTGAGGTTCTCTTTCTATTTCCCGTTCTCTTTCTTTAGGGATGTTTTGTGTGTGACGTGCATGCCAACTCATTCCGTTCAGGGTTGGCAGGAGTGCATATATAGACTAGTAAGACTTTAAGAAAATAATTACCTTCTCCATCACAACTTGCGCAGACTTCATACACAAACATTTTTCGGAGCATTCCCTTGCTTGGTTTCGCTTTGCTACGGCATCACGTAGTAAAGTCGGATGTTTGTCGCGTTGATCGCTGTAACCTCTCCCCTTATTGTGCCTGTTATTCTCGTTAAGAACCGACCGTCTGATGGTGCGCCCCCGTTTCCAGTCGGGGACCGGGAGGACAGCAGCTCCGAAATCAGCCTACCCGCCGCCATACAAAACTGCATCTCCGACCAGGAGAAGGCCACCAAACTGGTTCGATGGAATGAGGTCAGTGTATACTTATTTGCCCTTAGATCCAGTGACTGCTTGCCGGTGGTCTGTGTTCACATAACCAGGTGATGTAATATATTGGACGCCGGTCCACGATGTCCTGTCAACCGCTAGTTACTCAGTTGAGGGCTGAATCTTGTCAGATGCTGAGCGAAACGCTGTTTCCGCAGTGTGATCAAATCCGATAATGTGGCGCCAACATTATACAGATTCTGTTTGAGATAAGAGGCTCGATGTTCCTCGACTGATGCTTCTGCCGCCCGTCGCACCGCACCCCACTCCTGCTATATATGTTTTCCTCGGAAATCGGCGCTCCTGCTTCAGTCCGTCGTATCCATCCTAAGGATACTTGAATCCTCTCCTCTGCACCTCAACCCCTTTGGACTGGACGGGTAACTTCATCCCATACTGGTAGCTCCAACCCAGGAGCAGGCCCGTAGGCGGGTGCGGTGACCGTAACGGGGCTGGGTGGCCTGTCCACGTGATGGGCTCAGCCCCGCCGGAGCACCAGGGTGCCCGCCCAGACCAATGTCTCCCTCTAATTTCTATCATCCTTCCAACATTGAAATGGTCTCGTTAGACAGAAAAAGCCTAATCCAACAAAACACAACAAACAACCAGCGCTGCTGATTGACATTGCCGTTGTTATTCACCACTTCATCCTCCTCGCCTTCCCCTCTCTGTCAGGACTCGCTGTTGACCCCCCCTCTCTCTCTCTCTCTCTCTCTCTCTCTCTCTCTCTCTCTCTCTCTCTCTCTCTCTCTCTCTCTCTCTCTCTCTCTCTCTCTCTCTCTTTCTCTCTCTCTCTCCCTACCTGTAGGACCCGGTGTTGACCTACCTCTCTCACCCCTCGCCCTGCCATGCCTCTGTGTTGACCCCTCCCCCTCCCTCAGGACCCGGTGTTCAACGAGTCGTTCCAGTTCGCCATCGGCCCGCCGCACCGGTACCTCAACATCAGCGTGCTGGGTGTGCCGGAGCAGCCGTCAGCCGGCTCCGGCGGGGACGGCGCGGCCGCCGCCGGCCAGGACGTGCTGCTGGCGCGGCTGAGCGTGCCGCTGTCGGACGTGGTGACCGCCTGCCGGCTGACCGCCATGGGCCACCACGTGGAGACGTGCCGTCTGCTGCCGCCGTCGACGGCCGCCGTCAGGGAGTGAGTAAAGGGTGGGGGACGGCTGGGGAAGGGAGGAGGGACCGCCGTCAGTGAGTGAGTGACACTGGGGGACGGCTGGGGAAGGGAGGAGGGACCGCCGTCAGGGAGTGAGTAAAGGCTGGGAAGAAGGGGGAGGGGCCGCCGTCAGGGAGTGAGTAAAGGCTGGGGGACGGCTGGGGAAGGGAGGAGGGACCGCCGTCAGGGAGTGAGTAAAGGCTGGGGAGAGGGAGGAAGGAGGGAGGGGCCGCCGTCAGGGAGTGAGTCCGGCTGGGGAGAGGGAGGGAGGGAGGGGCCGCCGTCAGGGAGTGAGTAAAGGCTGGGGAGAGGGGGAGGGAGAGAGGGACCGCCGTCAGGGAGTGAGTAAAGGCTGGGGAGAGGGAGGAGGGAGGGAGGGATCGCCGTCGACGGCCGCCGTCAGGGAGTGAGTCACACTGGGGGACGGCTGGGGGGGGGGACCGCCGTCAGGGAGTGAGTCCGACCGCGCGGCGCTGGGGAGGGAGAGGGGGAGAGAGAGAGAGAGAGAGAGAGAGAGAGAGAGAGAGAGAGAGAGAGAGAGAGAGAGAGAGAGAGAGAGAGAGAGAGAGAGAGAGAGAGAGAGAGGGAGAGGGAGAGAGGGACCGCCGTCTGGCGCTGGGGAGAGGGACCTGTTAGGGAGTGAGTCGCGCTGGGGAGAAGGACCTGTTAGGGAGTGAGTCGCGCTGGGGAGAAGGACCTGTTAGGGAGTGAGTCGCGCTGGGGAGAAGGACCGATGGCAGGGAGTGAGTCCGGCTGGGCAGAGGGACCTGTCAGGCAGTGAGTCCGACTGGGGAGAGGGAGGGAAGGACCGCCGTCTGCTGATGGGGAGTAGGGAGTGAGTCCGGCTCGGGAGAGGGACGGCCGTCGGGGCCTGAGTGTGACCGCGCCTGGCTGGAGAGACAAAACGAAGCATAAACTGAAGGCTGACCGCGGTCGTTGGTTCGCCATTTGGACCAATTATGTGCAAAGTTCCCTCTGAGCAGCCCCCCCCCCTCCCTCTCCGTCAGGGTGGACCACGAGCTGTCGGTGTTCAACGCGTTCGAGCCGACGTTCTGTTTCGGCGACTGCCTGCTGTCGTTTGTGTTCGGGGCCGGCGCGGCCGACGCGGGCAGCGACGGCGACTCGTTGGCCGAGGAGGACGCCTCCGCCGTCACCTTGGAGAGGATGGAGGTGGAGGAGTCGGACCCGGAGGACGACGACGAGCCGCTGGAGATCCGCGTCGGACACAAGTTCGCCAGGATGAGGTTCACCGCCTCCACAGAGTGCGACTTTTGCAAACGGAAGGTACCGCTGCGGGTGACCGGGTGGGCTGGAGCTCTGTGGGGGGGGGGGGGGGGGCCTGGGGGGAGGATTTTCGATTGGTGATGATATGTTCAGCTCATTTTGTGAGATGATGTTTTTCGTACTCCAGCGTAGATGGGTAGCCATACGGCTGCCACGGTTGACAGTGATGACATCAGTCATCTATAAAAACAACACCTAAGAATGTTCAGCTCATTTATTTAACGGGATTATTCAGCATTCAGCACTGAATGTGTCAGTTGACGGGTCTGTCAATGGCAACGGGCCCGTTTCGACGGGTGACGGCCTAACGGGTCCAATGGGAAACGGGCTTCAGTGTTTATCGTTTGGTACAGTAGCTGCGTCTGCTTTCAAACGAACGGAACTCCGGCTCCGCGGCCAGTTTGAGACGGGGTTGATAGCGCGCCGCTTGCTGTCCCTTCCCCCTATATCGGTTCTGTTGACGATGTGTTATTTTTGTTTGCAGATCTGGCTGAAGGACGCGTTTCAGTGCTCTGCCTGCATGATGACCTGTCACAAGCGGTGCATCTCTCGCTGTCAGAGCCAGACCACCTGCCAGGTGAGACAGGCCACATCTGTCGGTGTCACGCCGTTACTTATCCCCGACAGCGGCGCCGCTGGGAACCCTTTGAGCTGGAGCTGTGAATTGTCCGGTGCTCTGTTAACCGTGCCGAGCGGACGGCTGAGCTGATGGACCCGTGGCTGACCAAATGGCCCGCTGCCGCGTCAGGTGGAGCTGAACCGCGGCTGGCGAGACTCCATCTCGGACAGTCACGTGCCAGAGATCGTCACCAGCTCTGAGGACGCCGCGGAGCCCTCCGACAAGAAGGTAGGCCACTATATAGCGGCCGGCCGCGCCGCGCCGCGTGGGGTAGTTGTTGGCATGCCGCGCAGACGCTCACCGGAGGGGGTAGCTCGGCTTGGGTAGCTCTCTAGGGGTGCATGTTCGACCACTGCCGTGTCTAGCGGCGGGTAGCTGGGGAATTCGGCGCTGTGTGGACTCTGACGCGCTATTACAGGCTCCGCCGCCGCCGAGAGTGCGGTCTGACTGCGGCCGCGCCGGGCTGGTTTCAGACGGCCCGCCGGCCGCGGCGCAGGGTGGCGGGCCGCGCGCGCCGGCGGGTGCGCCGGCTGGTGGCGGCGGTGAAGGTGCTGACCGGGGCTCGGAAGGTGAGGTGGCGCCTGTACAGACCGTCCGCCCCCAGCCACTAACAGCTCAGCCGGGTCGCCAGCAGACGGCCGAGACGGCTGCGACTGTACAGCGGCTGTACAGCTCTGACTGAGCGTTACGTGGGCTTCCGTCTCCCTCGTCCGTAATCGTTCCCAGGATGGCTACTGAGAATTTTCGAGTGTGAAGCCGGCGCGCTTGTGAAAAGCGCTTTATGTCCACTTGCGTCCGGGCAGTTTTTCATGCATAAACCGTGTACGATTTCCCTGCTACTGAACCTGAACGTACCTGCAAAAGAGTGACTACTGTGAATTTTCCCTGTGAAGTGTTTCAAAGATTGTCACTAGCTTGTTTCTCTAGCCCGTCGTGTGTAGTGTTTACCGAATAAGTAGTGTTGTTGGGGCATTTGTGGGGTATCTGATTGTCTGATGCCTGTAGCATGTATTGGCATGGTTGACAGGGGCTGTAGGGAGGCCGCATTCGCATAGGTTGATCGAATTGTCTGGGAGTGCTGACATTGTATGATGTTGCTTGGGAAGTGCTTTATTCGAAATCTATCCACCTGACCCCCGGCAACCAATAACCTGTCTTCCACCCGAAAAACAGTTTCCGATGCTCTTGCCTTCCCAGCAGTCAGCGCTATTGAAAAAGAGGTCTATGGTTGAAATTATCATCCCACACTCTTCATAAACAACAGTCGCACGGGGCTACCTCTCAAGCCATATGCCTGGATGAAAATTACAGTGACTGGCACTGCTGCGTTACAAAAGCTTTACGAGCTGGAGGAATGGCCTGTTCATTCTTAAAATCACCATGTGAATTCAAAATAGTGATCATGCTTGCATCAATGCGGCAAATACGAAACAGCGAATATCAATTTAACTTTAACCCTCGCCGGCCGAGGGGGGAGGGGGGGGGGGCGGGTGCCGCCGCCCCCCCCCCCCCCATAGGGTTTTTTTCGCGATAGCTCCGAACACGCTGGCGATAGAGAGCTGAAACTTGGCATACCTGACCTTTGATCCAAGCCGGATCTTTTGACACCAACCGCATTTTTGGGTCAGGTCAGGTCACTGACCTATGACGTCATAAGTGAACCTCTGCACGGTCTTCAGATGTCGCAACTTCGCAACGCCCTCACTGCCAGAGGAGATGTCACAGGGAAATGAAACTTGCAGGATCTAGTATCCATTATGAGTCCCACAACTTGTATATCTCGGATTTTTCTTAAAGGTCATATGAGGTCAGGTCATTTTCGTGACCTCACCATTATAAGTCAATGGGGAAAAATGAAAACTGCTATTCTGGCGCCGGGAGCGATCTCCAACTATCTTAAGTACACAGAATCGTGATTTGATGCACTCCTTGCAAGGTTAGATGCGTCACTTTTGCAATGTTGACCTTGCGTGACGTCATTTATGACGTCATCAAGGTCATATTAGTTTTTCGTCAATAACTCTTGATCAAATTGAGCTAGCGAGTTGGGAAAGCCACCAATGGACTCAGGAGGGCCTGCCGAATCGAATGATATGCTACATGACCTCTTTCGACCAATTTCGTGACCTGGGGGTGCTGACCTGACCTTGACCTGAGGTCAACACCCCAAGTTGACCTGACCCGGACAAAAAATATATCATTCGACGCGCCTGAGCGAGGCGAACACGATGCTGCCGAAATCGGCGCTCTGCAGCCGTTTTTTGCGAAGTTATTCACCAAAAACTGAACCGTACCTTGGGGCACTTGACCTGACCTCAGAGGTCACCGGTTGACCTAGGATCTTAAAATCGGGTACCAATCTCTGCGTCTCGTAACGGCACACACGGTCGTTTTTTTCCGCGACGCGCTAGCTCCACCAGGGGCGAAACGGCGAGGGGGGTCGTACCCGCCCCCCCCCCCTCGGCCGGCGCGTATGTAGAAAACCAATAGGTCCGGCGAGGGTTAAAACATTACCATTTGTTTTAAATCCAGATGATACCCTTCTGACGTTCTATCCAGTCCGGACCCAGTGCCCATCCTTTCCCATAGATCCGTGTCTAAGTACCACCCGGGGCAGTAGTGTCGTCAGCTGTGCACGGGGCCGGGCCGCCGCCCGCCCGCCGGGGACTAACCGCTCTGGTCTGACAGCGCCGGCGGCGGCTCAACACTCTGATGGCCACGCTGGGCTCCGCCGGCCTGAAGCGGACGGGCTCGGCACAGAACCTGGCGCCGCCCTCTGCCGGCCTACAGCGCGGCCTGTCCGCCAGCCTGCCGCCGTCACCGCAGCGCTCACCGGCGGCCAGCAGGAAGGTAGGAGCCAGCGCCGGGGGTACCGTCTCGCCCTGCGCGGGGGCGCGGGAGGTAAACAGTGACTGTGGCCGAGGGTGGCACGGGGAAGGTCGGACGTGTTTGGTGTGTTAGAAGTTGTTGACGACAGATCGGTAAACTGATGAGTAGTTTCAGAGTATTTCTGTTGGACTGGTCGGGGTTATTTTGAAGGCATCCATTGTCTTCCCCGACTGCTGACGCGCCTGCTGTTGATTGTAGTGAATTGTTTAGTGTACTCGTATTCGGGCCTTTAAAATAGCAATACTATTTACAGCGGGTATTTTAACGATAAAGTTCTCAGTGCGCAACCACCACAACGTAGTAGCTGAGTTTGTTGGGGAGAAGCTAAAAACCAGTTTTAGAGACACCACGTTACCCGCCGACGGCGCCGCTCTTCCCAGAGAATATACTCTGGCCGCGTCAGTTGGCCGCTCCTACCCAAGGCCGGAAGTGCGGCCTCTCACCGGAGTTGAACCCGCGTCGGGCGCGGTCCGTGAGTGCCCGTGTGTGTTACTGTAGCTTCTTGGGGAGTGCCGTCGAGTGTCCCGGTGTGTCTGGCCCGGTGGTGGGGAAACACCGTCCTGTCTGGAGCGTGGCTTGTCTCTGTGGGTAACCCTGTCCTGTCTGGGTGACGGCTGTCTCAGTGTTAAATCGTTTGCGTCTCAAACTGGTTCTATCGAGACGTGAATTGCCTACTTGTTTCTCTAGTGACGGTCTCTCGTTAATTGTGCGACGTTGCATATATCCTTATGGCTTCGTTTTTTGTCCTAAGCATGGTTTTGAAAGGTTTTGCCTTTGTGCTGTTTTCCTCTCATTTCATGTTTTGTCTTCGGTTTTATAATTCATTATATTTTTACCTTTCATGGTATTTTCGGAATTAACTTCCGTTACTCTCCTTCTGTTCTTCTTCCGCTGCAAATAACATTTCAGTCGTTCCCCGATTGACTAATACGCCCTCCCCAACCCTTGGGTAACCTCCCCACCCTCTTCCCTGCCCTCAGAGCTCTAACGGCGGGCGCCGGTGACCTCCCCTCCCTCCCCCCCCCCCCCGCCACATCCACAGAGCTGTCTGACGGCGGGCGCCGCTGATCCCCCTCTCCCTCCCTCTCCCCGTCCCCACAGAGCTCCCTGACGGCGGGCTCGCCGTTTGCGGCCGGCGCCGGTGACCTCCCACCCCCCTCCCCTCTGCAGAGCTCGCTGACGGCGGGCTCGCCGTTCGCGGCCGGCGCCGGCGGCGAGTGTGACAGTGACGAAGAGCTGGACGTGGCGCTCTCCAACATGCAGAGCTGCGCCAACAACGAGAACCTGGTGCTGGCGGCGCGCGAGCTCGGCTGCCAGCTCTACTGCGAGATGGAGCCGGCCGCCCGCCGAGACAGACTCGAGAACATGGTACGGAGCGGGCGGGATAATCGGAACTGGGGTACAGGGAGGCCGACAGCCGCGACCAACTCGAAAACGTGGTACGGGACGGGCAAATTGTACGAGAGGGAATAGCTAATGTGTTATGACTCAACAATGTGTTGACGGGACTGGCTAGGTAGCGGAAATTCGCCACGTCAAAATACTGAAAAAAGAGACATTGACACGACGGTATCGGGACGGACATGCAATTAACCGTCTAAGAGTGTGCGCAATTTGAATGTCGTCTCTGACTCTACTAAGCAAATGTCGGATAATATGATTTAGGTGTGCCGTGTGACCCAGGAGGTCCGTGAGGAATTCCTGCGAAATTCGATAGGCCATGAACTTTATCGTAATTTCATCATGGGCGCTCGAGCCTGCCTTACGGTCGCAGCGGGCACGTAATCAGCTATTTTCACCGTGCAGTGGCTGACACCCGATTCCCCGGCCATCACTCGCGAGTGGCAGCGGCAGCGATGGGCCGCGCGCGTCCGCTGGTTCGCAGCGCCGCCGCCAGGGGCTCCCGGAGCGCTGGCGGCGTGCCAGGGAGCGCCGGCCGAGCGCGGCTCACGGGCGGTCCGACCCGTCCACCGGCACGCGCCGCTTGCAACAGAGACGGTCTCCTTAGTTAGAGCGTCTGACATGACCCGGATCCCCGCTATGTGCTCCCATTCCCCTTGTCGAGCTCAGACTTCCCATTGTACCCACTCGGATGCGTATCATTGTTAAATATCCTTAAAGGTAGTGTGCCACCTTTGAAAGATTTCCCATTTTATTTTTCCTAGGATAAGAAGCTTCTGTTTTTACCTAATATCGCAAAAAAAAATCAAAAATGGGCCTGGAATAGTGCCTTTTTCGCCTAAAATTTTATCGGTTTTTAGATATGTATAACAACTGTAGTGGGCTCACCTGCAAACAGGCGTCGGGCAACAATCGCGAATGCGGCGCACTTGTGACAATAAGCAAAGGTCATTATAGTGTTACGACCATACGACGTACGGGAATGAGTTATCAGCTGTCTAATCGTAGACAACACAATGTCGAGCCTTAAACTGTAAGCCCGTATTGGTATTGTTTCTTTTATTTGGCTGTCGAACATTATTTATGGTTTGAAATATGATTTTATGTAAAATAATTGATATGAAAAAGCCGTCTTATAAGTTATGACCCCATTTCACCACACGCAAGTGGCAGAAATGACAATGATCAGCTGACGCATTTTTCTTGGCCGAAGTCAGAGCGCGCGGCCCGACGCACCACGCGTATTTGGAAATTCCGACCTCGACGAGCATCAGAAGCCACCTAACAGGCGTGTTCGAAACCGCAGGAGATGATGATGAACGGGTTTATCGAAACTTGATTGGATGAGCATATCGGTAATAGCGATTTCAGTGTGTGCATTTATTGTTCATAGTGGTGTGAAATGTGGTTGGGGTACGACCGACAACCCGTCGGGGCGAATTTCGCACTGGGGTACTCAAAATTTGAAGAATTTAAGACGTTTCCATGAGTTTTGAAGGTATGGATAAGTTCTAAAAATCCGGTTCTCCTTATCTGGGCCATTAACTCCATACGGTCCAAGAAAGCTGGCACACTACCTTTAACCACGGTAACAGAGCAGAAGAGTTTGGTTGAGATAATGAAGTTTTGGCTCAGTCCCTGACAGACTTGTGATCAGCTCAGTTGAGCCGGCTCAAAAATCAGCTCAGCTCATGAGCCGGCTCAACATTTTGCCAAATTGTTGAGCTGTGAGCTGAACCGGCTCAGTAATGCATTGAGCTGAGCTGCTGTCTGAGCTGAGCTGAATGAGCTTGAGCTGAGCTGAGCTGAGCTGAGCGAGCTGAGCTGAGCTGAGCTGAGCTGAGCGAGCTGAGCTGAGCTGAGCTGAGCTGAGCTGAGCGAGCTGAGCTGATTGAGCTGAGCTGAGCTGAGCGAGCTGAGCTGATTGAGCTGAGCTGAGCTGAGCTGAGCTGAGCTGATTGAGCTGAGCTGAGCTGAGCTGATTGAGCTGAGCTGAGCGAGCTGAGCTGAGCTGATTGAGCTGAGCTGATTTAGCTGAGCTGAGCTGATCCAGTTCTAATTCTTTTCAGTTCATGCTTGGAAATTAACTCAGGCTTTGATGCTACAGCTATGAGCTAGCTATGGAGTGAGCAATTACACTGCCTTCGTGATCGCACTTAAAAATATCAAAACTCTAAAGAAATCAATAGTAATCACTAATCAAGCTTAATTTCTTTCACCCATATTGCATGGAAATTGGAAGACCAGGGTCTTGGCCAATTTACAGGCTAATACAGCCAGTCTCAAGTTTCAAGTCTGACTGCAAGATGAATACCTACTGTCAGGCTTTGATGCTTCGCAATCGCCTTGACACTCTGCTCCACAATGTACATACAATTCAGCATTCTTCACTTTGTTATTTAAGCAGTTATTTAAATTCATTTTATCAATAAGGGTTCTTACCTCTGCATAAAATATTAACAATTAGGAATTAGCAAATAAAGTTCCTCTTCGTTGGTTGAATGTGGGCTAAGCAACCATATCCTATTGAAAGTGGGGTGGGGCAGAGGCGCTAACTGGAACTCTCACCTTCTGATGTCCATTATATGGGAAAAGCTCTCTTATTCACACGCCGACTATGAATTCTAATAGTGTTGACATTGCCTTGGTTGAGATCAGAGGGCTGTTCACGGGCCCTGTGTGCGGTCGGACCGCACACAGCCTCGAAGCTCCGCCCACTTCGTCCCTACGTCGGCATTCCGTCACCGCACACAGCGACCGCTGTGGCCGGTCGGGACTGGCCACAGCGGACCGTCCACCGCATGCAGCCGTGACGTCAGAACCGCCTACCCATCCCCTACCCCCACGCCTGCTGGACGCACCGCACACACCGCACGCAGCAGTGTGCGGTGCCCTTGAACACCCCTCAGGGTGGTGTTATAGGTTTCACTGATAACAGCACGCTGCTATCACACGTGTCAGATGGGGTTTCCATGGAGATATAAACAAACTCTCTTATCTCCAAGTTCCAACACTACCCCAAAATGTAACGTCAGCTCCTGGCAGGGTGCCAAGAGCGGATGGCGGCGTGGGGGTGCTGCTCTCGGCCGTGAAACACCGCCTAGTTGAGATGATTCCATGACGTTTTTTTCGTCTAGAAGATTTTCGTCGGACAATTTTTCGTCCGCAGATTCTCGTCCGACTTTTTTCGTCTCGCATTTTTTTTCGTCTGTACATTTTTTCGTCCGTGCATTTTTTCGTCGGTACATTTTTCTGAGCGGAAACTGAGCTGAGCTGAATTGAGCGGAAACTGAGCTGAGCTGAGCGGAAACTGAGCTGAGCTGAGCTGAGCGGAAACTGAGCTGAGCTGAGCTGAGCTGAGCGGAAACTGAACTGAGCTGAGCGGAAACTGAGCTGAGCTGAGCTGAGCGGAAACTGAGCTGAGCTGAGCTGAGCGGAAACTGAGCTGAGCTGAGCTGAGCGTGAGCGGAGCGCAGCCGGTTTGAGCGGAACGTGAGCTGAGCTGAGCCGCGTTAAACTGAGCGGGAGCTGAGCGGGAGCGGATAAGACGGAGTTGAGCTGAGCGAGCTCACTTTTTTCTTGAGCTGTCACAAGTCTGGTCCCTGAAATAACATACCGAAACTCTCGCAAAACTATCGACATAGGAAGACAAATCAAATTATGCTAGACATTCCTGTTAATATGTAATTGTGAACAAAGAGGGTGCATATCCCAAACAAAATTTAATTCGACGTCACTCAACATTTTAAAGCCCGTCGTTTATGACCTATGGCCGGGCTAACATCCACCGTATGTCTGTGTCACTGTCGACAGCTGTCGAAGCTGCAGGCGGATCTATGTAGACTGTCTCCGCTAACCCCTGTATGTCTGTCTGTGTGTGCCGACAGGTGTCGAAGCTGCAGGCGGAGCTGGACTCTGAGGAGAGTCGCCGCCAGGAGTTGCTGCGCGCTGACCGGCAGGCCGACGGGCCCACCACGCACACGCGCTGCGCCCTGCTGCTCGCCCAATCCGACGAGAAGACCAAGATGCTCGGCATCCTGATGGTCTACTACAACGCCGGGCTGCGCGACGCGCTGGCGGCCGCGCCACCGGCCTGACCGGGGCCCGCCGGCGGCCGCGCGGGCGGCGCGGCGCCGCCGGACAGCTCGTGACCACACGGGCCGCTCACCTGTGTCGGCCACTGCAGCGGAGGTGTCCGGCTGTCTCTGGTTACTGTGTTATAGCCGGGTCAGACGGCGCAGCTCGACCAGCCCTTCACTCCGCGCTGAGGGCGTGAGATCGGTGGTCAGCTGTGGAGCCCGCCGGTCAGCTGTGGCCCAAACCCGGGAGGTGGGCGGTCCGGCCTCTGAAGCTGACAGAGCGCAGTAATTAATAGCCACCAGCGAGTGTTTTCCGTCGTCTCCAGTCAGCTACGGTACTGGAGTCCCATCGACCGCAGCTGCCAGCGATGTCAATAGGACTGCGACTGCAGTAACCTGGTTTTCAAGACAGCTACGCCAACACAGTGAGGTCTGCTCAGTGTGTGGCTCTCAATGATCTGGTGTGACAGGATAGTTCCGGAATATTTCGGTACTTCTGGTCCGCTACTAGCTCTCTCCATCTCCTCTCGCGCTCTCTCCGTTCGCCTGTGATATCTCTCGGTCTGCCATGAGGACGCTGGTGCGCGCTCCCGGGGAGGTCGGATGCTCCGGCCGGGGCCGGCTGGCCGCGGGTTGTTCGCGGTGCAACTGTGCATATCGGCCGACAGACTGTGAGACGAACGCTGTGCTTTAGCTGTGAGAGCCAGGCCGCTGCAGAGACGGCCCCGTCTTCGGAGACTATCAGTGACCTTTAGGGGGTTTCGTGGGTTCGTATGATGTTTAGGGCATGTGTTCAGTGGTTTGGTGTCGATCCAGTGAGCTTTCTGAGGGGTCTGCGGCCGCCCCTAACACCGGCCCGATATCGTTTCGGTGGTGCGACAATCTGTTGTTTACTCCTGGTGTGTTGCCATGTCATCTCTAAGGTAGTTACTTACGAGTAGATTGGTCACAACGTTCAGCTTTTTTCTCGATGTGCCGGATCTAGGCGGTTTGCTGGTGTAGCTAGTCCATGTGTCAGTTGTCATCGAATTGGTACATTCCTTCCAGTGTTGTTCCCATTGTCATCGCTTGCATTGAATCATCGGTGTCTGGTCCATTATTCTCGCATCCTCCGCTGTTCTTGGAACATGTCTGACCGTTCTACCGTTCGGCCGGCGCGTCTCGCTCTGCCGGTCCGCTCCACTCCAGTCCGCGTGTGTTTGTGACTGGTAGGTCCTCCGGCGGCGCTGCAGAGATCCCCGTCCCCCCGTGGCAGCCCAGCCCCGCCGCCGGGCCGGGCGGAGCCGCTATCACTCGCCGGTGCGTGTGGAAACTTCAGAGAGTGGTCGCTAACGCGTGTGTGCTGTGACTAATGTGTGACATGTCTACTCAGTGTGTTCTCCCGCGGGCAGAGCTCGTGGCCCATAGTGCAACAAGATATTGCATTTATAGTCGCTTTATTTTGATGCTTGTATTCGGTGGTGTTGCCTAATATGTATCATTATTATTTGTTGTCTTGATGAAGTATGTATGTGATGACAATGTGAGATTATAATTGACAAACAATTTGCTAACTATAGTGGAATTACTTATGTGGGGCTCTAACTATAATGGCATAATGCATTATGTTATGATCTGAATGAAGAGTATGATGTGTTCTGGCGTTCTGGCTTAGTTAATTGGTTTTCAACGAAAGTGCTTTTCAACTTTGTGCCGTTTTTGTATGTGCGTATTTGAAGGTGCTGAGTCCTTGAACTTGTGCCCAGATACTTAATCTCTACTTACTATGTTAGGAAACATTTTATGACGGTCGCTTACGCCGTATATTTGATCAGAGGTGTTCATTCAGGTAGTGTTGAAACGTTTCCCCCTCGATGGGGATGCAGTTTCTTTATGCTAATTTTCCATTGGTTGTGGCATATTACTGTTCTGAACCTGTACTGGGAGATCTATGAAAAACAACATAATATCAAGTGATTTGTGTTTGGTAGTGCGGAGTACCGACCAAATCCTCATAATACACAATGCGGAAAAAGAATATTCGTTATTATTTTGGCAGCGTGGCCTTCGAGTTTAACTATTTACTATACCTATTACCCCCTATTATCCTACCGCGAATGCAACTCACCGATCTCAGATTTTCACGATAGAAATAAGAAAAAAAAAAACATTATAATCCAGTCGAGCTGTCTAGGGAACCTGCACAACGGCGAGAGAGAGAGAGAGAGGGAGAGAGAGCTTTCGGTATGAACATTGATTACTGAATACTGAGGAGTCTGCGAGTCACCTCGATTAGTGGTCAAATGTCTAGAAAGTAATGAATGGAGAAACCTGATGGCCCGATGGTATGCGCATAGCCATAGTTCATACCTATCACGATGGATGAGCACGAGCATTGAGCACAAGGTAAATACATAAGCATGGATTATTATGTTGATCAAGACAGCCCATATTCAGCCCAGATTCAGCCCGGATTCAGCCCAGATTCGGGACACCTCTGATCAAGCTGAAACTCGCACACAATGTAGGCCATGACATGCCCAATCCACAGTCCAAGTCATTCGGTGGCATTCCCAGCCGTTTGACCTAGAGAGGTCAGCAAAGGTCACGTGGCCCAAATTTGCACAGCAGATTGTGGCCCACCCAGTAGAGCTAGAGCGCTAAAAATGGCACCAATCGACTCGTCAGCATCTAATCTTACTTTCCCAACACTCATTTGACCTCTCAAGGTCATGCGATGACCTAAGGTCATTTGTGGGCTATGTCGAAAATACACTTGCACAGCAGTTTTCGAGTAGATGGATTGACCGAATTCCAAATCAAAGCACATCATCGGGTAGCCCATAGGCCGTAGTAACTCTCCTTGAAAACCGCTTTTCGATATGTGACCCCGTTTGACCTCGGCAGGTCAAAAGGTGCAAATACACGATACTCAATACGTCGCAGCCCGGATTCAGCCCAGATTCGGGACACCTCCGATCAAGCTGAAACTCGCACACAATGTAGGCCATGACATGCCCAATCCACAGTCCAAGTCATTCGGTGGCACTCCCAGCCGTTTGACCAACAGAGGTCAGCAAAGGTCACGTGGCCCAAATTTGCACAGCAGATTGTGGCCCACCCAGTAGAGCTAGAGCGCTAAAAATGGCACCAATCGACTCGCCAGCATCTAATCTTACTTTCCCAACCCTCATTTGACCTCTCAAGGTCATGCGATGACCTAAGGTCATTTGTGGGCTATGTCGAAAATACACTTGCACAGCAGTTTTCGAGTAGATGGATTGACCGAATTCCAAATCAAAGCACATCATCAGGTAGCCCATAGGCCGTAGTAACTTTCCTTGAAAACTGCTTTTCGATATGTGACCCCGTTTGACCTCGGCAGGTCAAAATGTGCAAATAAACGACACTCAATACGTCCCAGCCCGGATTCAGCCCAGTTTCGGGACACCTCCGATCAAGCTGAAACTCGCACACAATGTAGGCCATAACATGCCCAATCCACAGTCCAAGTCATTCGGTGGCACTCCAAGCCGTTTGACCTAGAGAGGTCAGCAAAGGTCACGTAGCCCAAATTTGCACAGCAGATTGTGGCCCACCCAGTAGAGTTAGAGCGCTAAAAATGGCACCAATCGACTCGCCAGCATCTAATCTTACTTTCCCAACCCTCATTTGACCTCTCAAGGTCATGCGATGACCTAAGGTCATTTGTGGGCTATGTCGAAAATACACTTGCACAGCAGTTTTTCGAGTAGATGGATTGACCGAATTCCAAATCAAAGCACATCATCGGGAAGCCCATAGGCCGTAGTAACTTTCCTTAAAAACCGCTTTTCGATATGTGACCCCGTTTGACCTCGGCAGGTCAAAATGTGCAAATACACGACACTCAATACGTCGCAGCCCGGATTCAGCCCAGATTCGGGACACCTCCGATCAAGCTGAAGCTCGCACACAATGTAGGCCATGACATGCCCAATCCACAGTCCAAGTCATTCGGTGGCACTCCCAGCCGTTTGACCTACAGAGTTCAGCAAAGGTCACGTGGCCCAAATTTGCACAGCAGATTGTGGCCCACCCAGTAGAGCTAGAGCGCTAAAAATGGCACCAATCGACTCGCCAGCATCTTATCTTACTTTCCCAACCCTCATTTGACCTCTCAAGGTCATGCGATGACCTAAGGTCTGAGGTCATTTGTGGGCTATGTCGAAAATACACTTGCACAGCAGTTTTCGAGTAGATGGATTGACCGAATTCCAAATCAAAGCACATCATCGGGTAGCCCATAGGCCGTAGTAACTTTCCTTAAAAACCGCTTTTCGATATGTGACGCCGTTTGACCTCGGCAGGTCAAAATGTGCAAATAAACGACACTCAATACGTCGCAGCCCGGATTCAGCCCAGATTCGGGACACCTCCGATCAAGCTGAAACTCGCACACAATGTAGGCCATAACATGCCCAATCCACAGTCCAAGTCATTCGGTGGCACTCCCAGCCGTTTGACCTAGAGAGGTCAGCAAAGGTCACGTGGCCCAAATTTGCACAGCAGATTGTGGCCCACCCAGTAGAGCTAGAGCGCTAAAAATGGCACCAATCGACTCGTCAGCATCTAATCTTACTTTCCCAACACTCATTTGACCTCTCAAGGTCATGCGATGACCTAAGGTCACTTGTGGGCTATGTCGAAAATACACTTGCACAGCAGTTTTCGAGTAGATGGATTGACCGAATTCCAAATCAAAGCACATCATCGGGTAGCCCATTGGCCGTAGTAACTCTCCTTAAAAACCGCTTTTCGATATGTGACCCCGTTTGACCTCGGCAGGTCAAAATGTGCAAATAAACGACACTCAATACGTCGCAGCCCGGATTCAGCCCAGATTCGGGACACCTCTGATCAAGCTGAAACTCGCACACAATGTAGGCCATGACATGCCCAATCCACAGTCCAAGTCATTTGGTGGCACTCCCAGCCGTTTGACCTAGAGAGGTCAGCAAAGGTCACGTGGCCCAAATTTGCACAGCAGATTGTGGCCC